TCCACATTCATTATCTTATTTGAGTCTCAGAATAATTCTGGGGATATGCAAGTCATAGCAGAGAAAACTGGGTGATGCTACAAGACTAGCTCCTGGTTACATGGTGAATTAGAAATAGAGTTAGGACTAGAATCTAGGACTTCTGCAATGAGATCCAAATCAAGGTCAAGACTCCTGAAAACATTCCACACCCTAACTTACTGGCTGACGAACTTTTTGGTAATAGGAAGGGCTTCTCTACTCCAAAGGGTATTGTCAATATGTTACTTCTACAGACCAGGTTGCCTGGTATGACAAACAAGTTTATGTCAAGACACCAGAAATAATTTAGGAGTGTGACAAAGTACCCAGTATGTCTCATGCTTCAAGTTCTTCCTATCACTCTCCTATCTCAATATGCTTTGTATCAACTTTACAACCAAGCACTGTAGCAACAGGAAGAAGACATACTAATTTATGGGTAGTGTAATATAACCCAGTGTCACTCTCTGTGTATCCTAGTAATCACTGCACATTGCAGGGGACATGATAATCCCAGGGATTAGATTACTGATAAGAATGGAAGAACATACACTTTACCTACTGCAAAACATGACTTGCCCTCATTCATCTGCTGTGATCAAGGGACTGCTACAGTCCTTAAATGCTCTCCTAAATTCCTCTTCCTTTTATAAGAGAAAGAGGATTCCTGGAGAAAAGCTGTAGGGCTTGATCAAAACAGGCTGGTGATAAAGACTGGCATTCAATATACCACCATTGTAGTAAGGCATGGCAGCAATAAAAAAAAATTACGTACATTTTAGAGATGTCTACCAGATTAATTTCAAGCCAGTGGCATCAATATTGAAGATAGGGTGGTTCTCATCTTGGAAGTCATTTCAAAACACACCTGCCCAAGTTTGGGAATATTAATAAAAACTCAAGATGCAAATACTCTTTGACCAATAAATTCCACTGCTATAAATTTATCCTACCCATACATTTGCACTCTATAAATATCCTTCATACACATTTACTTAAGATGCTAAATGCACGCAGATGTCCAATTATTTGTAAGCATATAAAACTGGAAATAATTTAGATGTACATCGAATGAGATTAAATAAATTATACAATTCAAGTATATTCTCTAACAGTCATTAAAAGGAATATATGTGTTAATATGTAAAATCATTAATGTATGTTGTATTTTAATAGAAAAACAATGCCTAAAATATGATAGATACTATAATCTTATTTGCGTTAATTTTTAAAAAGGATAATAGGTTGTAGGCTTAATATACATGGAAATTTCTGGCTAACTACACAAGATGCTTATTAGTATTTACCTCTTGGGTGTGAGGCCTTTAAGGTACTTTACTTTCTACTTCATCACTATCTTGTACTTTATTGCTGCTTTACCATAAACATATATTAATTTTATAATAAGAATACACCAAAAATAAAACCAGAACACCTACAAACACCAAAAATTTCTTAAACAATCTAAACAGGCTTCACCTCCAGAAATTCTAATTCAGTAAGTCTGAGTTAAAACAAGTATACCAATATTTTTCACCCCTGATTTTCATCCCTGATTGAGAAGCATTAGTTTAAGATATTGGTTTTCAGCACTTGGTTAGAAATTTTTTCCTTTTTCCCTTTTATTAAACTTATTTTTGTTCTTAGTTTGGGTAATAGGTCATGACAGAATCAATGCTAACTACACATGTCTAAAAATGAGCAAGTATTAAAGATCTCAAGGAACTCCTTCAGGAACTGGAAAGGAGTCTAGTACACTGAAAATAATGGTAGAGCACAGGGTCAGCAAATTGTGCACTGAGCTGGCCAAACCCAGCCTGCCAGTTTGTTTCCATATAGCTTGCAAGCTAAGAAGGGATCTTATATTTTTTAAATGATTGAAAAAAATATCAGAAGATTAATAGTTTTGTGACACATGAAAATTACATGAAATTTAAATTTCAGGGTCCTTAAATAGAGTTCATTTTAACACAGCCATACTCATTCATTTGCTTATTGTCTCTGGCTGCTCTCACACTACAACGCAGAGTTAAGTAGCTGTGACAGAGAACATATGGCCCAGGGGACAAAGTCTATAATATTTACTACGTGGATGTGGCCCTTTATGGAAAAAGTTTGCTAAAACCTGGTCTAGTATAACAGTGTAATAATGACTCACCACTGACCAACCCAACATTACAGAATTTTAAATCTGCAGTATTCTTTTTTTAAAAAAATCTTTAAGCAGTGAACATAGCTTTAAAAAGCACAAACAAAAACATTCATTGAGCTATTTAACTTACTTCACCCTTGACTTCTACTATCCCAAACAAAGAATTTGCTGCTATATTAAAGATACATTACTCACAGCCTCTGAGTTATCAATAAATGGATCTGTCTCATCATAGCCAAAGCCTATATCAATTAAATCTTGTAGCCGATCCTTCCGGTGTTTACGGGGTTTCCCACCCTGCAAAGAACAGATACGTTAGACTGATTCAGTATTCACGCTGTTTCCACAAAGTTAAAAAGACCTGTTGAAAGAATTCAAACAATTTTTATAGATAATTCCTTCCCCAGGAGGTTGGGTTTAAGTTCCCCGCCACATCTCGAGTGTAAGTTACACTTAGTGACTTGCTTCCAGAGTAGAGTATGAATGAGGATGGGGGTGGGAACAGAGTAACTTTATAATGGAAAACCTGGCCAACATCACCTCACCAGGTGATCACAGTCAGCACCCAAAGAGACAAGTCATGTTGATAGCATGTACCATTGTGTACTTTATCTCTGTGGTCTTACTCTCAAAAGCCTATAACACCAGCCTAACCACGAGAAAAACATCAGATAAACCCAAATTGAAGGTCATTCTACGAAAGTAAGTGACCAGTGTTCTTCAAAACTGTCAAGATTATCAAAAACAAAGAAAATCTGAAAACCTGCCACAGTCTAGATGAGCAATAAGGAGAAATAATAACCAAATGTAATGTGGTATCCTGGATGAGATTCAGGAACTGAGAAAGGACATCAAGGTAAAATTGATAACACCCAAATAAAG